AAGTTGAAGAATGATGATTGTTATGCATTAATGTTTTTATGTCTATACTTCTTAGAGTAACATATATATGATGCTTCTCTCGATATTCAAAGTTGTATTCCCCGATGCATACACCTAAACATCTACATTCCATTTTATCGAACGCTTTTTTGCAATTTTAAGAAAAACAATTCTCCTTTTTTTTCCTCACATCCTATTTTTCTCAGTAGCTTTTCTCATTTTTGTTCAATGCATCAACAGAGTTGGCTATATGCGCAATTTCTTTATCATTTCGAGTAGTAAATCATTTTACTCGTTCGTTGATTTGATCAAAGGTCTTTGCGAAATAAGGCATACACTGTCATTATACAATTAACATGGCACTGTAAATGCACCAATATCCGGCCTGTGTGTGTCTTTCATAGATCCATTTTCGGACAACATACAGCACAGTGTTTCTTAAGATGCAAGTATATGGAGACTACATGACCTCATCGGAAAATACGTTATTTCTTTGTTCAAATTAAAGGTCGATGGTTTATATAATGCGCATTAGTGTGCCTTGTTGTTTTGGTGTCACTAATCCAGTTTTCGCTTTGACGACGAATCATCACTTGGCTTCGACCTAAATGTACATGTAAATGGCGGATGTCATCTTAAAAAGGAAAAAGAAGCATGACGAAGTAACTATTGCACTACAGCATATGGACATTTTGTCCCTTTAAGCGAATCAGTGGTGCTAAAAGTTAACGAAAAAAAGTGAGTGTCTTAAGTGTTCCGAAATATATGTATATGGAATAAAGCGAACAGGAAAAACGCCTATAAAACATATAACGATAAAAATTTTCAGCTTAACACTAAAATAGAAAATGTATACTTAACTCGTATTTTATGTAAAATCATATTAGAAAAAATCGAGCTTTAAGGCTTTGGCCAACCTCGGGAACTGACAGTTCACCAACAGGGACAACCGCCTTGTTACGTATAATAAACTCTAGGTAAAGAATCACACAAGGATTGCCATTTCGTCCCTGTGTAGCTCACTGGTCCTTAAGGCCAAATGGATACAGATATTCCTAAATATATGTAGAACACATGGTAAAGGTGACTATAAAACCATATTAATTCGTGACTATAAAACAATATTAATTCGTTAACTTGACCCCCTGGTCTTTTAAATGGAATTTAGGATACCTGCAAATTAATAAACTGTACTTTATATTATATATTTAGATGCAATAAACACAAGTCAATGCACACAGAAGAAATGCCACTGCAAGTGTATTTAAACTTAACTTTTGCATAAATTACTTTATGTATATTAAACATACCTTCAACATAAATAACATTCCAGTTGCGTATAAACTTACCCTAGGATTTGATAGATACACCGAATAAGTATAGACACGGACATAGCCAGACACAGGGGAGACGGGAAGGCAAATGAGTAATAGTCTTATATCCCTGAATCCAAGCTGTCGCTTTATAAGATTCTAAGGACAATTTACAGCTTTTTGTGTCTTGGACTTTCAGCAGAAACCGATTTAATACAATGATGGCCATGAAATCAGATCTAGCTCTGTACCCTGATGTCCAGCTCGACAAAGCCTTTAACTCCAGGGACAATGCTGAAGACTCTATTTGATTCCGATAAAAGCTCTACGCCTCTGAGGTCCACATATTTTATGTTCTCACACATTTTTTCTGTTTTTGATATAAACAAGGCCAGCTGTTTTTGCTTGTTGATGCAGAAAAATACTTACAATAATCTGGTTGTCGATAAAGTCCATCAGCGTACGTACTGCTACAGCGTATTTCCTAAACCCACAAGGGAACGGTATGTTGTTTATGTATCTTCTATGTGTGCAATGCAGGACACATTGACAGTGCATGATACGATCGTTTTGATTTGGTTTTGTTTAATATTGTTTTACGTCCTATAAACAGCTAAGGTCGTTTAAGGACTTGCCTCCATGTGTGTAGTGCATGCTAAGTATATGTTGGCGTGCTTGCCTCCTTGTGATAGCGCGGAACTATGCCGACTTAAAAGTGCTATCTCTCTGAAATACCATGCCGAAGGCACCCAGCACAGCATTTCGCCCGGTCACATACTGACGACGGGTGAACCAGTTGTTGCCATTCCCTTAAATGCTGAACGTCGATCGTTTTGAACAGAGACACATACAAATGTATGTATACAGAAATATGTGCATATGCATGCGTTGTAATGCAATGCTATAATTAGAAATGAAGCCATTTTAAGCATGCAAAACACTTGTATCACAGCGACTGTGTTTTACATTAAAATGGGTTAATTACAAAACGTATATGGGTTAGGTTCATGTATCCTCAATGATCTGTAACAGCGGTGGCGCAAGTTCACGTATCGATTAAAAATCTACTGAAAACAAAGCATAGTTAACATACTATTTTGTGTTGTACTATTACACGTAATCAGTATAGTGTCATACAAATTGTTATATCAATATAGCCATATGGTTATATTACTACTTTGATTCGTAATGATAGGGTTACGCTTTGGACCGTTGTCTTTGTATATTCATGAAGTTGACGTCAGACTCAGACTTGCCAAAACATGCAGTGTTGGTTGGCTGGTTAATTTAGCTTCCAGCCAATCACACCACAGGTATCGGCATGTGGAATATACAAAAAGTTGCTCTATGACTGCGAACATTATTCTGAACACCTTAGTTTAGGTCCAAATATACATGCAGCTGTTAAAAATGCTCAGTTCCCTGTGTCATTGTCCGGTTTACGGTTGTAATATCAGCGGACATATCCCATTACCAATGTAAAAACACGAAGGGGAAAGTGACCGCTATATCGTCACATATATGTCAATTGGTCTTTAAATATGCATGTATAACTTTGAATTGTCATACAATACATCCATATAAGTTCCATATCCATATAATTCCATAAAACTCTCTGCCTCCTCTTCATCAATCTTTAGTCCACGCTATCAGGGTCGGATTGTGCATTCTCTGTCAACGTTATATGTACTACATGTAAGTGCATTACATGAAGGTAACACCTTAATGTAAAATCGGCCTTCGATCCCCTCATTTAAACATTAGTGAGTACTGCACTATCTTGAGTCATTATCATTTTGAAGACATGTCATGGCTATAAACACAAATAAATAAATAAATATAAAAAATAAATATGATAGTTCATCATGTTTTTCCTTTTATTTCAATGTACCCTTCAGTTTCTGTTTTATGCATAGATTACAAGTTGAATATTTCTATTGTCAACGGTATGGAAAAGCAATACTCTCCACTGGCACTGTAAACGATGTAATATTATATAGCAATAAAATAAAATTGTAAAGCACTTAAAAGACAAATTTTCAACAACTTTTCCTTCTTTTCTTTCGATAATTTTATGGTCAACTTGGAAACAAAATAACACTCTTGACCTTATATGACTGATCTGCTGTCGAGGCAATGGGAATATAGCGTTAAGGTACATTTTTTTGTATTTAAATGGATAATACACAAACAGTTTAATACATATACAACCGATTTACTATCCAACAGATATTTTATGGATATATTTTGTGAACGATGTCAACAGACTGAAATAAATAGAAAAGTGTTGATGTAACTAACTTTAAAGTGCGCTTTAACAACAACAATATGTATTGCATACACGTCCATATTTATATAATATTATGAGCTGCGATCCACGATACAAATGTTACCCGAAGAATTGAATTTCAAAAGTCGAATAATCCGATACGGATCAGCGTCGACTGGGGTCATATAATCATATGAAGCAAACGTTCAGATGTTTCAGGATTAGTGCTTGCACTGCAAAAACAGGTACCTAAAAATAGAAATTAGTATTTGATACTCATAATTAGGTCATCGTTTCCTATTAAAAGAAAAGAAAATCAGTAAATGCTAGTAATTAATGTGCAGATTAACAAACAAATCTTCTAGTTCGATGTTTATTGCCTCCTCCAGCGAGGGTAAAAGTCTGGAACACATGAAATTAAACTAACATTACAAGAAAGTCTAACAATGTCAAAATACAGCAAGTTATATTTACTCCTTGACGCTATAACATGCTACCACAAATAGGACAAAACATCATGATTTTAGCTTTGTTACCACTCGAAATAACTCATCAGACTGAAAACTAGTAAACAAAATAGGAATACGAAAATATCCAGACTACGTTGTACACTATGCCAATTTTCATAAATCACGACAGGATCTGTGTATACAAAATGTACCGACTCGGAAATTACACGTACATGTAATTATCACTGAATCACATAAACGGGAAGTCTACAGTGTTTTTACCTAATTATATGCAATCAAACAAATAATAAACACGATCATCTAGAAAATATCTAAAATTACGTGACCATGTTTTCCATAATGCCACGAAAGAAAAATGCGAAATTTCAAACACCGATTTTACATGTCGGATAAATCAACATTAAACCTATCAACTTCAGAGAAACTTACACTGCACATAAAGTACATGATTTAAACAATCTAAACTTACTCTGTGGTGCATCAAAACATATTGCATACAGTAATGCAAACGTCATTTCTTCTGTATAAACAGACTTGCACAACATGGCGGACATTTTCAAGGAGACTGCTAAAACACGAAACCGAAATCCGGACAATTCGGATACGCAAGAAACGAGTAATAAAGAGTCGCATTCCGGACAGATTTTCCGGAAACACCACACTCCCCTTCCGATTTCACAATGAAATCGCCATGCGACAAATGTGAAGCTACGCACTATAAGTGCAGGAACACAATTAATGCCGAATTCATCTGACATCAATGCGTCAAGGTATCATGAAATGTTACTTAAGCTTTCAGACTAATAAATTATCATTATTACAAAATACATTATCATACTTCGATACTTATCAATCGAAATGTCAATAACCAAATCATAATCGAATCATTTGAATGTCAATATCAAAGTCTCTAATCAATTATATACATGTAGTTCAAGATGCAACAAATTATTCAAATTCGACCAATCGAACAAGTTCTGAAATAGGTCGCACAAACGAAACACGAGTTTTCCCGCGAATGACGGACAGTTTGACTTTTCGAACCACATTGTCTTTGCTCGGATAAACTTCCTCAATGATACCGATGGGCCAGTTATTACGATGACTCATATCATCCTTCATAAGAACAATGTCGTTTTCCTTGAACGAGTCGCCTGGTAATTGCCACTTCCGGCAAACTTGAAGTTGATGAAGGTAGTCGCGTTTCCATCGACACCAGAATCCATCTGCCATACGCTGAACGAATTTCCTTTGACTTTTAAGAGCATCCTTCGGACCGAAACCTGTGACGTCAGGTTCTGAGACATATTCATAAGGTTTCTGAGTTAGAATAAGCATCGGCGAGAGAACAGATGGTAACTCAGGATCGGAAGATACTGGCAACAACGGTCTAGAGTTAATAATGGCGGACACTTCTGCCATAAATGTTGCGAGAGTATCGTGAGTCAAATCCTTAGACCTATTCTCCAAACGCATAGCGTCCAAAATTCGCCTACACGAGCCTACCATCCGCTCCCATACTCCTCCGAAATGGTGGGCGTACGGCGGATTAAACACCCAGGTAATTCCATGGCCAGCATTAGAAAGGAAATCTTGAACAGGTCCGTCTTCCACAAATGATGTACTGATTCCCAATTCTTTTACAGCACCAACAAAATTAGATCCACGGTCGGACCTAAACTGACGTACAGGACCACGAATAGCCGTAAATCTGCGAAGAGCATTGATAAAATGACAACTACTCATTTCTTCTACGAGTTCTATATGCACGGCTCTAGACACGAGACAGGTGAATAGAACGCCCCAACGTTTAGCGCTGGTCGTACTACCTCGAAGAGATCGCTTCACGACAACTGGCCAAGGGCCAAAGACATCGACTCCAACAAACGAGAATGCGGGTCCGGGTTCTACCCTATCCGACGGGAGTTGAGCGATATGTGTCCATCCCAATTTTCCACGCAATCGTTTACAGGTAACACAAGAATGTATCACGGAATTAACGACGCGACGACCACCCACAATCCAATATCCCGCGGATCGAATTGCGCCTTCAGTCAAATGTCTCCCTTGGTGATGAACCTCGGTGTGGTATTTTCGTGTAAATAACTCTCCAATATGATGATTCTTCGGAATGACAATAGGGTGGTTTTTCAGACAAGGGTCATCGTTCTCGCACTTTAACTGTTCAAGTCGACCACCCACACGCAAAATGCCATTAGAATCTAAGATAGGACAGAGAGGCAGCAAAGAGCTGTCCTTCGGAATATTCTTGTCATTACCGATCGCACAAATCTCTGAACCGAAAGCCTCTTGCTGAACCTGCTTAATAATGAAGCGTTCGGCCTCCACTTTGAGCTTGACACCATCAATGCTACGCGATTGGCGTTTCCTAATAAACCGCTTCAAACAAGTGATAGCTCTCACTAAACCTGACCACGTCGAGAATCTGTCGAAGCGCTGACAACCTAAGCCACACGATACTGATGCCTTGAGGCATGTAACTTGTTTTCTCACTTCCACATCCTCATCTGGGTCGACCAGAACATCAGCAGGATTCTCAGCGGAAGCGACGTACTTCCAGGATTGCGGTCCGCAGAAAGAACGAATTCTGCTCACACGATTGGCTACATACACATGAAACCTTTTTGATTCATTTGAGATATAACCTAATACAACACGACTATCTGTGTAGAAGGTAAATACGTCCTTTGGCACGTCGAGTTGCTCTCTGACGTTCTCTGCAATTTCGACGGCTAACAAAGACGCACACAATTCAAGTCTGGGTATAGTGTGACCATGCACAGGAGCAACTTTCGCCTTTCCGGTAAGAAAACCCATCTCATTTGTCTCGTCTGAAAACACTTTGATGTATGCCACGGCGGCTACGGCGTCTTTCGAAGCGTCAGAAAAGACATGAAGTTCTACACGAGATGATAATTCGACAGATAATGAGCAGTACATTCGCGAAATACTAAAATTCTGAAGAAAACCGAGTTCATCAACCCATTTCTCCCAGTGAATCCTGAACTCTTCCGGAAGTGATTCATCCCAGCCACTCTTAGAGGTCATGGCCTCCCGCATAAGTATCTTCCCTTCGAGAGTGACAGGAGCAGTGAATCCGATGGGATCGAATAGGCTGTTAATTACAGATAACACACCTCTGCGTGTAAAAGGCTTTGAATTTTGGTCCACACGGAACGAGAAATTGTCGGATACTATATGCCAACAAATACCTAAGCTTCTTTGTTCAGGTAAACAGTCTTGGCCTAAGTCGAGATTTTTCAGGTCCTTTGCTAAGTCCTCCTTGGGGAACTGCTCTAATATTTCCGTAGAATTAGACGCAATTTTGTGAAGCCTCAAACCTCCACCATCACGTAACGCGGTCTGTGTCCTCTTGACCAAGTCTACAGCTTGGTCAGTACTGGGAAAACTCATGAGTCCATCATCAACGTAGAAGTTATTCGAAACGAACGATTGTACATCTGGATCTGCAGATGACACGGACCTACGAAGACCATAATTGGTGACGGCTGGAGATGTGCGGTTTCCAAACACATGAACAGTCATTCTGAATTCCTCAAGAGGAGAATCCAGATCGTTGTTGGAATGCCAGAAGAAACGCAAATAATTGCGATGATTCTCAGCAACACGGAAATTATGAAACATTTGTTCCACATCAGCCATAATAGCGAATTCTTCAAGACGGAATCTCATCAATATACCCTGGAGATTGTTGGCCAAATCTGGACCTTTGATCAACACATCATTAAGAGAAGTTCCTTCGCATTGAGCCGATGAATCGAACACTACCCTAACGGAATCTGGTTTCTTCGGATGATAGACTCCGAACATGGGTAGAAACCAGCATTCCTCGTCGTCGGATATGTCGGGCGCCTTCTCTGCATGACCTCTGTCAAACAGCTTTTTCATAAAGTCTATCACATGCGCACGTTTTACATCGTTGTGCCGCAAACAACGATCGAGGGATCCAGCGCGACGGAGCGCTTGAGACCGGTTATTAGGTAAACGTATCCTATTGTCTTTGAATGGCAGAGGCGCTACCCAGTGTCCTTCTTCGTCTTTGACAAATGAATCTTCCATAATACGAAGAAAGGTGTGGTCCTCTATCGATAGACCAACTTTCTCATCCTGATCGGTCTTTTGAAACAAGTCTTTATGTATATACAGTTCATTCTCACATGGTTGAAACCGAGAATGTCTTCCATTTCCTAGGACATATGTCTTCATAGTGCGGACTTCAGGTACATGTGCTCCACCGAGACACACCTGACCTACGATGACCCACCCCAACGGTAACTTCTGCGCAAAGGGCTGATCCTCTTCTCCAACTACTTGATCCTCAACAACATGGGCACGAATAACGTCCCGACCAAGAAGGAGTTCCATGTCAGCGTCTTTGATGACAGGAGGAATCAACGGTACTATGCGACTCAAGTGGGGAAATTGCCTGGCCACGTCCGGAGACGGGATATCACTTCTGTCACTAGGAATGTCATTACACTCTAACAGACTAGTTATACCGAGTTCACAACTATTATCGAGAGATTGAACTTTGTTACCGGTACACACGCTGCCAGCAGCAGCAGCGGCGCCAGAACAGGAAACAAGAGTGTACGAAACGTCGGTACTGCACTCATCGAAATAGTCAAATAACGAAGAAGTTCCCAGTGACTGATTACTCTGATCATCGATCGTCGCGTAAACCACCACTGCCTTCTCTGGATTAGACTCATGAAAAACACGCACAGGTATAATCTTAGCGCAAGATATGCTTACGCCCAAAATGTCAGTACGCAGAGAAGTAACTGTCTTAGAATTCCCCTCCCCTTTGCGAACTTGGTGAACGTGTAACAGGCTGAACCGTAGAATGATGTGTAGTCTCATCCTCATGAAGAGCGGTAGGGTGCGTTGTAGCTTGACATATGTTACATTTCACATCATTTTTACAGTTCCTAGCTCTGTGTTTCTTACCCGAACAACAACGGAAACACAAACCGCTGTTCAAGATGATCTTTTTACGTTCGTCAATGGATTTCTGTCTAAAGGGATGACACTCGTTAAGTACATGTTTCCCATTCTTATGAAGCGGGCAAACTACTGAATTCTCAACGGATTCTATAGTCCCTGTCTTTAATACAGTTACCCTCTGCTTTGTCGAAGGTGACGACTTATGTCGAGTTTGTTGAGATGCAGGTGTTTGTCTGTGACTGCCAACCTTACGCTCATATTGAAAGGCAGGATCGTTTCTCATGCTTGCCATCTTCTCCAGAAACTTCACAAAGAAATCAAAGGGCGGATAAAGTTCCTTTTTCTGTTGCTTATACCGTGTGGCTTCAGAAGTCCATTTTTCCTTGATATGCCAAGGTAATTTGTCCACTAACTCATTGACACCCTTTTTAGAATCAAAGTACGCGAATAATGCGCTGTATCTCGGTTGAGACTTGATTGCGGAAACTTCAAGGGCGAGATCAGTCAAATCATACAACAAATGATACTTTTCAGCAGTAATAATCGGAAAGTCTTTAATTCTATTGTTGAGTCGTGCTTCAACCATTTCCGGTGCACCATAACGTTTTTCAAGTCTTTCCCAAATTTTGTCACATGCTACGCCCGGATTCTCTGCATTGTTACTCCTAATTGTCTTCGCTTGTTTTGACGACTCAGGACCTAGTTTTTCACACAACAGTTCCAACTCTTCAGTCTTGGAAGCCGAAACTTCTAGCATAATTCCTTGAAAACTTGTTTTCCATGCTATGAACATCATCGGATCGTCATCATACTTGGCTAACCTTGTCTGAATCAATTCTTGTTTTACAAGATGTTTTGTAAAAGAATCTACAATTTGATTTTCGGATTTCACTTTTGGCACAAACGGTGGCACAGTAGGATTTAAGATTTGTTTCGAGACATCTACAGTCTCTGGTAAGACCTCAAATTCTTCAGGCAAATTGTCAACGCTGATCACTAGGCAGTTCATCAATAGTGCGAAATTCCTCAGGTGGGTCTTTGAGAGCAACCACCTCACTTTCTATCATCTCTAAATCTCGCTTAGCTCTCAATTGTTTAAGTTTTGTCTCTAGAGCTAGTTCTGCGTCCAAATGTTTCACCATAACACGTTGAGCTTCTAATTTAGCTTCTTTCCTACGCAGTATTGAAGATGAAGTATCAGATCTCTGTGAGGAACGACGAGATGTGTGGTGAGAGGAGTGTCGAGACGAGTAGTGATATACTGAACGTCGCGGATCAAATTGTCTATCAAATTCCGATAAATCAATTTCAATTTGTTGAATGTAAGCTTGAATTTTCCGTTTAACCGCATTGGTTTTAGCAAAAAACATGTGTCTTTCCGTATATAACTGAATAAGTTCATTCGGACTGTCAGTAGACCTTGTATCACGTAAATAATTGCGAAAAGTATCAGCAGCTTTCTGGAATGATGTTTCACAACAAGCAGCCAAATTATCTAGAGCAAACAAGGTCTTTTTGTCACTCTTTCCGCGTTCGACTTCTTCAGATATACCATTCACCTCGGACTTGACAGCGGCTACCTTGTCATAATGTCTGCTGACCGTTTCACGATAGATATCCAGGGCAGGGCGAGTTAACGTTCTCATCGTGCGGAGAGACCTCCCAACCATAGGCTCTGATTTGACGCTCATGTTGACCTCAACACTGATGACGTCGAAGAACTTCTGATGACGTCACAGAACTTTTGCTGTGCAGATTAACAAACAAATCTTCTAGTTCGATGTTTATTGCCTCCTCCAGCGAGGGTAAAAGTCTGGAACACATGAAATTAAACTAACATTACAAGAAAGTCTAACAATGTCAAAATACAGCAAGTTATATTTACTCCTTGACGCTATAACATGCTACCACAACTAGGACAAAACATCATGATTTTAGCTTTGTTACCACTCGAAATAACTCATCAGACTGAAAACTAGTAAACAAAATAGGAATACGAAAATATCCAGACTACGTTGCACACTATGCCAATTTTCATAAATCACGACAGGATCTGTGTATACAAAATGTACCGACTCGGAAATTACACGTACATGTAATTATCACTGAATCACATAAACGGGAAGTCTACAGTGTTTTTACCTAATTATATGCAATCAAACAAATAATAAACACGATCATCTAGAAAATATTTAAAATTACGTGACCATGTTTTCCATAATGCCACGAAAGAAAAATGCGAAATTTCAAACACCGATTTTACATGTCGGATAAATCAACATTAAACCTATCAACTTCAGAGAAACTTACACTGCACATAAAGTACATGATTTACACAATCTTAACTTATTCTGTGGTGCATCAAAACATATTGCATACAGTAATGCAAACCTCATTTCTTCTTTATAAACAGACTTGCACAACATGGCGGACATTTTCAAGGAGACTGCTAAAACACGAAACCGAAATCCGGACAATCCGGATACGCAAGAAACGAGTAATAAAGAGTCGCATTCCGGACAGATTTTCCGGAAACACCACAATTAACTTTTTAAACGTTCTATGTGAATTGGTTGTATCCCTTTTTAACATGGAGCCCAACAGCGGCCTTAATGCGAAATTGCTGTAACCTATATATGTGGAATGCTAAAAGGTCCATTCCATCATAAGTGTGACAGCAAATCGACCTGGGTCTAAGGGTGTATATTGTTTTGGGTTATATAAACCTTTCGGCTATATTTGGTTTGTATCATTGAAATTCTTGTAGACTGGAGACAATGAGAAACATCCTTTTGGAAATAGGACGGTGCTGGCAACATCGTAAAACACTCTACATGAAAAATGTGTTTGTGCTTGGACGATAAATGACCTTTTACAATCTGCTTGCTACTTATCATATTCAACAGTGTAGAAACTGTTTCGCTCAATACAAAACTGTATGTGTGACAGAGTTGTTAAAAATTTAAATTAAATTTGCTTCACCGCTCCAATATATTACGAAGCTCAAAACCATAACATTATCGTCAGATTGTTTCCAGTGAATATTATAAAAAAAAATCCAAAAATTGAAACTGATGAATCCTGTTATATCGGTGTGTAGATGAACTACTATTTATCTGAAAATGGGATGTCACTGTCAACTTTATGGCTGATATCTACGACGGAACCTATACGGTTTGTCAGTATTTACAAATACAATATAAGAAAAACACAAAACGGTGTCATCACACAAGGACATAATCGTACCACATTGTATACACAAAAAAGGCCACAACAGAGAATAGGGAGTCGTCAAAAAGAAAGAAAAGACATACATGTATAAACCTTCACAAGAAAGACTAAGGGGAGACTATGGTTGCAAAAACCAGAAATATATAACTTAGTAATGCTTTAAGACAAAACGAAATATCCGCAGCTCATATCATCAATAGACGATTTGTCATCATGATCATGAAGAGATTTATCGATTTTGTTGACCATTGTAACAATATAACCTTCTTTTGCGTAGGCCATGATGTGGTAATAGTCAATTCTTTTTAGGCTAGCCGATTTGGTACCGGAGACATTGAGTTCGACGCTTGGAGAGCTCACAATTCAAAGCTTGTTTTCATTCGATCATGAATTTCTAAGCACATACATGTATATAGCCTACATACCTACTTTCTGTATCCCCTAGTTGTGTTGTTTCATTCATCAAGCTTGCAAAAGTAACTTAGTCAAATAAGACAAATGACCTGCGATATACAATTTACTTTAACAATTTAGAATATTGTCGACTATATACATGTATCACTTTGTTGGTCTGTTTCTCTGTTTAACGTCCTCGCAGCATCTAAGATCATATGGCGACAATTGTTAAGGGAGACGACACCAAACAAACAGAAGTAAAAGAAAATTCAAAGGTCACAGAAAGAGAGGAAAGAAAAGTAACAGGTCACAGAAAGAGAGAAAAGAAAAGTCATAGGTCACAAAAAAAGGGGAAAAAGAAGAGTCATAGATCCCAAGTTTAGCAATTGGGACGACATATCAATTTTGGTTCCCTCGATGTCCTCCTAGCACGTGACACCGCATAAAAATCATGAATCTGCAGGGAGGTTACTCATAAGGTCCTCTACCGATTTGCAGTGGCATTGGGTACATGTCACGCTGTATAACTGTACTAGAATGATTGCAACTGTCGCCCGCCATTAACGGTATCTTGTCTTTTATATCTAAGTTACAAATGCAAGATATATTATGTATGGCAGACCATCACACGGCAATCACCACATGGCTTCCTCTTATTACAAAAACGAATATCATCGTATCTACGATTCTCAAATACATCTGATCTTTCCGACACTGACTAGATTTGACAAAGACTATGATAAAAACACGAACATTACACCAACACTAATTAGCATTATCGAATATGTTGGCAACATATGTCTACATTGATCGCGCAGAAGGCCTAGTGATACAACTCCTATATCAAAATAGCTTCATACACTCCCGACAATTAATGTATTGCGTTGAGACTTTGTTGTGATCTGACAAGCTTGCGCCAGTCAAACGCTATTGAAAAAAACAGCAATTATGATCCTCGTCTGACCATTGGAGCAGGTGTGGTTGACAATAAAACCGGACCTCTCGACTTTCGTTACCTCCCTCTACAGTAGTCACTCAGACAGACACTCGATCCTCACTCCCTTTCGACTTCCACTTTTGTCTCGCCGAGACAAACATCGAACAACTTCAAACATAGACCGGTTCACCCTTTTCTTCTGTCATTGCTGTGCCGGGATCTGGATAAATCAGACGGACAGACAGACACAGACTGATTTCTCCATCTACTTCTCGATCCCAGGATTATGCTTTAGTGCAGACATCCGGACATGGCTGAGAGGCTTTTCCATTAACAGGCGACGCGGGACATTTTCACGCCGCTGAATTAATGATCGGAAAGCATTGTGCAGGACGGTCTTTATTGGACGTATATATATACGCAGGCACATAGACAGACATCCTCACGGAACTGTTTGATTCATGAGGCAGACCTAGGGGACGACGACGAGACCAATATTACTAAGTGTCATAGAACTTCTCCACACCAATCGTTATTCCTGAGGTAATGATGTTGTTTATATCACTATTTCCCTCACTAGACCGGCTTTATGTGAGTTTGTCAATAAAAGGCTTTTCAGTCTTTGCTCATTTACAGTGATTACGCAAGAAAGCATCAACATATAAAGTTGGCGCATTGCTATTATTTATACGAGTCCAATTCAACAACATTGGCAGGGATGCGGATAGTTATGGCTATGGCACACCGCATACATAGACCGTTACATTGTTGACATTTGCAATCCTCTACGACTAACATGTTTGTATATGGAGTAATGGAGTGTCAGCTTATCGAATCTCATAAAACATATATTAATTATTGACATAGTCATGTTAAATACGTATCAATATGATGTGTTTGACAGTTCTTGGATAAAATTACTTGGCTGTTTAAATCAATGTCTGCCAGTCCTATATAGATATAGTTTATTGATACAAATGCGGCAATGTTACAAATAGTCAGGAAGTTATCTTCCTACATGAACGTTTCTCCCGTAATCACGTGTACTGATATTTTACGCGAGATACATTCCATTTTTTTTTAATTCAACGTTACAAAGTAAAACAGAACCGAATCATTAGTCAGAGACGTTTATATACCAAATGAATTATGATAATGCAATTGTATCAAACATGTTTTAGTACATATATTCA